CTCTCGTCTTGACATTGATTAAATCCATAGGACTTAATCACCTCATCAAAACGAATATTCCAAGACCTAGAAGCTTGTTTTAGTCCATAAAGAGACTTCTTTAGCTTCCATACTCGATGCTCTTGGCCTTTCTTCACATAACCCTCGGGTTGCTGCATATAGATGTCTTCATCCAAGTTTCTGTTAAGGAAAGCTGTCTTGACATCCATTTGCCAAACCTCATAGTCCATGTGACTTGCTATGGATAAGAGAATCCGGATCGACTTAAGCATGGCTACTGGTGAGAAGGTCTCATCATAATCGATTCCCTCTTTCTGAGTGAAACCCTTCGCAACCAACCGTGCTTTGAAGGAAATAACCTTCCCGTCAGATCCTCTCTTACGCCTATAGACCCATTTGCACCCAATGGCTTTCTTGCCTTCAGGAAGGTCCTTAAGGTCGTATACCTCCATAGCATCTATAGATTCAATCTCAGAATCCATAGATTTCTGCCAAGAATCTGCATCTACGTCTTGAATTGCCTCATTGTAGGTCCAGGGATCACTATCATGCTCTTCACTTTGGATCAAGTCCGAAGACTCTCCCACAAACATGAAACGATCGGGCTGACGAACAACCCTCCCACTACGACGAGGTAACTCAGGTGTAAATACATCAGAGTCAACACGTTGTGCAGTCTCTTGTGGTATATCTTCTTGCACACTCGGTATGCCATTGTCTTCTCTCAACTCTTTGAGAATAATCTCACTCTTGGACTTATGCTCACTCATATAGTCTTCTTCTAAAAATCGGGCATTGGTGCTCACCACCACCCTCTGATCTTTAGGACTATAAAAGTAACCACCTCTTGTTCCCTTTGGGTAACCTACAAACAGCCGTACTTCCGTTCTAGGTGCCAAGTTATCAGCTTCCTTATCCAACACATGTGCTGGGCAACCCCAAATCCGAATGTGGTTTAAACTGGGCTTGCGCCCGGACCACAATTCTATTGGAGTTTTCGGAACCGATTTAGAAGGCACAAAGTTAAGAAGGTACGCCGCTGTTTCTAAGGCATATCCCCAAAACGAGGTAGGTAATGAAGCATAGCTCATCATCGATCTCACCATTTCTAACAGAGTCCTATTCCTTCTCTCTGCCACGCCATTCTGTTGGGGAGTACCAGGCGCAGTCAGCTGGGATGTAATCCCATTCTCCAATAAGTATTGCCTAAATTCATTGCTAAGGTATTCGCCACCACGATCAGATCGCAGTGACTTGATACTTTTCCCTTGACGGTTCTCCGCTTCTGCCTTGAATTCTCTGAACTTGTCAAAGCATTCAGACTTGCGGCGCATCAAGTAAATGTACCCATATCTTGAGTAATCGTCAATAAAAGTAACGAAATACTCAAAACCACCTCTAGCTTGAATAGACATAGGCCCACACAAATCAGAGTGAATCAATTCCAACACATCATTGGACCTATTCCCCTTGGCCTTAAAAGGCCTAGAAGTCATCTTGCCTTCCAAACAGGATTCGCAGACTGGAAATGGTTCAACTTGGAAAGAATCCAAGAAGCCATTACCTACCAGTCTTTGGATCCTCCTTAGATTGACATGACCCAACCTTAGGTGCCAAAGATACGTTTGATTCGACTGAGAAGGTTCTTTTCTCTTGTTTAGTGATGAAGATGCATGAGCCTCAGTCACAGTATGATATGCACAAGTAATAGTATAAAGATTGTTAACCAACATGCCAGAACAGATAAAAGAGTTATTTCTCATAATAACAGCATTGTCATTAAAAATAACTGAATATCCATCCAAAAACAGCTTCGAAACCGAAATTAAATTCTTCCGAAAACTCGGCACGTACAAAACGTTCTTTAATACTAAAACAGAATCAGAAAAAGATAAGTGCACATCTCCCACTGCAACCACCGCCACTCGTGCAGCGTTGCCCAAGCTGATGGTAATCTCGCCCTCACTGAGCTGCCTTCTTTGCAGAAACCCCTGCAAAGTGTAACAAACATGATCAGTGGCTCCTGTATCTACTACCCAAGAACTGGTAGAACAAGCCGCAAAACATGTTTCGACAACTAAAGCAAGAGACATACCAGGAGTGTCCTTGAGGGGACAATCTGACTTCCAATGTCCTGTCTTGTTGCACTTGAAGCACTTGCCTTTCGGCTTCTGCACGCCACCAGAAGGCGCTACAGCTTTGCTCCCACTGCTCCCACCACTCTTTTTCTGCACTTGCTTTTTCTTCTTCCCGCCTTTCGACGAAGAAGGTCCAGCTTGTACAGAAACATGAGCCTGTGGTCCCCTGCCCATAAGACCCTCCGCTGCAACCAAGTCCACAAGAAGCTCGGCTAGAGTATAGCCCTTCTTATTCATGATTGCATTCAGGCGGAAGTTCTCATAGGACTTCGGGAGCGAGTGCAGGATGATATCGATCTTGGCATCGCCATCGATATTTCCTCCGAGCACATCTATCTCATTCAGATATTCCATCATCTTGAGAACATGCTCTCGCACAGAAGCTCCCTCCGGCATGACAGAAGACATAATCTTCCGCATAGCCTCAAAACGAGCAGCCCTATCTTGCTCACCAAAGAGTTCCTTGAGGCTCAACATCATGTCAGCAGCAGTAGGCATGGTGTGATGCTGCTGTTGCAAAACATTTGACATAGATGCCAAAATGTAGCAACGAGCCATCTCATCAGCCTTATGCCACTTCCGATGAGCCTCCCTTTCCTCTTCGGTAGGAGCAGCGCCCAAAGGAGCAGGAGCAGGTGTGGTGAGCACAAATTTGTACTCATCAGCAACAAGGACAATATCCAGATTCCTCTTCCAGTCCAAATAATTTGGACCAGTAAGCTTGTTTTGATTGAGAATGGTCATAAGCGGATTGAATGACATGATGAATAACTGAAATAAATAATTGCAAACACGTAAGCAATAATTCACATAAATTTGAAGCATAAAATATGGAAACCTTCAAAACCATTATTTTAACGCATCCTTCGACAACTTAAACAAACACACATGCAAGCCACGTTAGGGTGGACGTTTACACATATGTCCATTAAGCAGACACCCGGTCATTAATCTCAATTGCACGCCAACCTGTCCTTATGGCGAATGAAATTAAAAGTCGAAATTTTTAACACTGGCCATGTGAATTAAAACAGGGACTCCGTTGGGGAGTTATATTAAAATTCACATCTAAGTGATGACCACAATTCAACCCCACGAACAATCATTCACAATTGATGAACTTACCGATGGGGAAGACACATCGCTTGTAAATAATTTTCTACGGTTATCTCAAAATAATCTTTACCGGTGAACTTATGAATGACACTATCCGTTAGGGAGGAGACCCCATGGGTCACACGTATGCCACTCACTTCACCTAAAGATTAAGTCGTTTGAATAGAAGTCTTATCTCGTAAGCTCGTGAATGCCTCATCCGTTAAGGGGAGACTCCGAGGTCCCGCGAGCGACAAACACCTTACTTAAAGACCAATTGTGGAGGCCAAATGAATCAATTAAAATTCATATTAAACTCACTTAGTCATTTTACTTGAAGGTTTTTAACAACATGCAATAAGAAACAATTAAAATTCCTAGCATGCTCCTAACACGCAAATCACATAAATCCTAGCATGCTTCTAGAATCCAAAGGAAAAGCAATAACAGCTTTCTAGGAATTAAAAGCACCTATTTACATGATTACTAGCATTCCAGAAAAGCGATTTAAATCAGCTAGACACATAAACAAATAAACATGCTCTAGCAAAAATTAAATCGGCATCCACAAAGCGATAAAATGCGAAAATTAAAACACATCTATCGCAGCCCCTTAAAACCAACCACTAACAGCCTATCAAAGCTATTACATGATTCAGCAAGGTCGTGGATGAACACTCGAATCGGCATCTCGCGCACATCGGGCCATTCACGCGGTATCGACATCCACCGGCGGAAAAATGGCCGAAAATCTTCAGGCCATTGAATTTGACCTAGCCACGAAAAACAACCGCTTTGCCGTTGACTCTTTAGATCTCGTTCTCCCGTTTCCGAAATGGTATTATGGGCTGAAAACGGACACCCGTAGCAAAAGTTATGGCCAAAACAATTTTCGCCGACGAAATCGCCATCGGTAGACGCTGAACCCTAGCCGCCGCCTCCAGATCGCCCATGTTTCTTCATGATCGACTTTGAACACAAAAGTACAGCAAAAATCGAACAAGAACAGCCCTACTACAGTCTACAAAATCGCCTATACTACCCACACTTATTATCTGGTGGGTAAAACGATTACAACAATACACAAGGGCTGCGATAGACACCATCCAGAAGCATAAACGAGATAAAACATCATCCACACGATGAACATGACTGAAAACGAATAAACGAATAAACGAAATCAACTACATGTTCCAGGCAGAGCCGATAATCTACGAAACCGAGGCTCTGATACCAATTGCTGGAACACGCCGACGAGACGGTCCTTCCCACGGATCGATATCGGATACCAAACATGTACATACATGATTTCGATTAAACCTAAGCATGCTCCTAAAGGACGAATAGAAAGTTTACCTTTCTTCGAGGCTTTGATTCAATCTGAGCGATCTTCTAGTCTGTGTCCCGACCACGTTTGGACGCCGGATGGACGACGATCTTCCAAACGGTTGAAAGAAGAGAACTTCCCTCGTCTTTCTCGAACCCTTTTCGTTACTCTCTCCACGATGGTGGCTGGAGTGTCTCACGAAAGTCCTAGGGTTTAGAACGTGGGAAGTCCCCTCTTTTTATAGAGGTCCTTGGGCCAGCCTAGGGATCTCTTAGAAGGTATAGGGTTTGGGCTCCCTACAGGCCCAAATTCTTATGTTCAGCCCAGAACACAATTTGGCCCGTAAATATTAATTCATTCCACTAGAGAATTAATATTGTACTCCCGTCCTATTCCGAAATGAATCAGGGCTTCTATTAGACTCGATATAATTCCCCGTGTTTAAGATATCGCACGTCCATTAATTATTAAAGCTTCTGTCTGCTTTAATTAATTAATATCTTTTAATCCTAGTTCTTCATCGACTCCATTTTTCTCTGTAGTCACGCGGATGGATCAAGTAACACAAGAAGTTGAGAAAGTTAAAAGGGATTTCCACGAAACGTACGACCAAACAGTGAAACACATTGATTCGATCAAAGAATACGGGATAAAATCAAGGATTGGCAATCCAGGTGAATCGGAAAAGATAGATTCTCTGCCCAGATTGAATGGGCTGGCTCAAGATGGCCTCAACACGCTTCAATCACTACATTTTAACCTTGATCTTCTTGCCCCTCAACTTCCCTTCGTTGACGACGCGGAAAAAGCGCATTCGTTGGCTCAGTTATGGGAGAAACAAATCCAGAGGTGCCCTTCAATTTTTTTTTTTTTTTTTTTTTTTTTTTTTTTATTGTCTTACTTTTGTTTTCTCTCAGTTTCGTGAGGATTTGAAGTGTATACTGAAATTTCAAATGCGTTGGTTGTGTTTGTATCTGCTGACTGGAGTGCAGTTTTTCAGTATATTATCCAGATGTATTAGTTGGTCAAATAAAAGTTAAGAAGGAAAGGAAATACTGTAAAAAAGTCGAATGTGGCAGATATGCGTTGAGCTTAAACACTGAATTGATTTTAGCCTTTTGGGCATTCTGATATTAGTTGAATTAGTGCATACCCGTATGGTCAAATGTGTGTATTAATCTCATTTTGTTTGGATGATACTTGTATACCCAATGAAATCTTCATTTTGCTAGTGCAATGTTGAGTTTGGGTTTTGACTTATTTTGATCTTTGATAAATTGTGGCAGTAAAGTGATTGTGGGTACTGGTTAGTGAAGGGTAATGTTGAGTTTGTGATTTGACTTATTTTGATCTTTGATAAATTGTGGCAGTAAAGTGATTGTGGGTACTGGTTAGTGAAGGGTTTTGTTTGTTACTGCTTATGCAATGTGGTCATTTACTAACATCTCTTAACTGTGTAAATCGAATTGTAGTTTGCGGCTGAGTTTAAGGAATGCTAATTTGCAAGCAAAGGCAAACATGAAGAAAACTGCTCAGCAAGAGGTAGTGGACCTAAATTAAAATGATCCTCATTTGACATTTAAATGTAGAATATATTTCAGCATTATTGAAAAGTTGGAAAATTCTCTTGATACATCTCTTATAGATGTTAACCTTTATATGATGCTTTTGAATAATGGGAACTTTGACTTCATTTCACTAACTGACCATCAAGATATACTATGTGTTGTAATTCTCAGACAGAGCTTCTTTTGGGAGGTGGGGAACAGTCTACAACTCGAAGGCGCAATCTTCAGTACGTAAATTTACTCTCTGGCATCTTCTTTATGTTCCTTAACCTAAAGTATTTGACAAGGAAAACATTTTGAGATTATGTATAATTACTGAATATTGAAATTTAATCATAAAATCTTGTTAGGACGAAAGCAGGAATGACTTCTGCTGCTGAGAGCATTACAGAAAGCCTTCGACGTACATGCAAGCTCATGGTTCAGGTTGTAATTTTATTTTATTTTAATGTTGATACCAATATAAATTGTTATATGTAAGTCTGACCATTCATTCTGATCATAGGAGGTTGAGAGGAGTACAAGCACCCTCATGACTTTCGGTATATTCCTTTTTTTTTTATTTATGTGTATCATAAATTAATTACGGTGGTTTCTTTTCTCCACTGATTTATTTATTTGTTTATTTCCCAACATGTGTCAACTTAGAAAATGATTCCCCCAGCATTTTATATGTTTTTACAGAGGAATCGACAGAAGTATTGAGAAAAGCCGAAAGCGAATATAAGGGCCATCGCTCTTTGCTCTCTCGAACCCGAGGCCTTCTCTCCACCATGCAACGTCAAGATGTTCTTGACAGGCCTGACCTCTTTCCTTTCCCTTGAACAGAACAATTACCAAATATAGCCTCATCAATATATGGCTTGCATTACTCAAATTCACAAATGAGCCCCATTAATTTTTCTCTTACTTAAGGGGGCAATTTTTGCTTCTGGAAGATGACTGGAATTTGTTTGCAATTATGTAACATGAGGGGTGGTTTTGTGATTTACAACTTTATTTGGTTGCCTCTCTCTGTCTAAAGATTGAACTTGTTTTTGTTTTTGGGTTTTGTTTTGCAGAGTGATAATTGTGATCGTGTTTCTTCTTTTCTCGTTGGCTGTGCTGTATGTAGTTTCAAAGCGCATTGGTATTCTGAAGTTGCAGAGAAAAGTGATTACTGCTGTGAAAGCTGGGATGGCCGGTCAAGGAGAGATTATGGCGCCTTTGGTCGGTAGGGCTGATATGAATGCTAATCCTGAGTTGAATGGTCCGTTAGAACAAGTTATGCATGACGAACTTTGAACGTCTGAGTTAAACGTTTAATTCCGTATTTGTAAGCATGTAGAATTTTCACAAAGGATTGTACAAGTTACTAATATTGACTCCATATATGTTTCTGTTTCACAATTAGGTATCTCCAACTGATGTTACTTACATAGCAAATACAAAATCAGAATGGGGCAGTTGTGTTTTTCACTTTCTGTATAGAATGTGAAAGAAATCCGAGTGAAAGGGACTGTTGTTTTTCTTTCATCGACGAAAAAATTCTTGCAAGATCGACTATAGTCAAGTGAAACATCTATATACGAATCATTAGGTACAATGTGGATGAACAAACTATATTTCTTTCCCCACCTTCTTCCCTTCCAAAATATATTTTTAAATAGGAACATTAGTGATTTGTAAAATTAAATGAAGACGGTAAAGAACAAAGAGTATAAAAAAATATATATTTAAATTGGAACAAAAGTGATTTGTAAAATTAAAATGAAGATGGTAAAAAGCAAAGAACCCGACTAACTGAGACAAACATGTATGTTTTTTTATTTTTCTGTTACTAGGTTTTGGTTCTGAGGAGATTTTGTAAAATTAAAATGAAGATGGTAAAGAGCAAAGAACCCGACTAATTGAGATAAACATGTATGTTCTTTTATTTTTTTTGTTACTATGCCAAGAAGCAGAAGTTTTATAGGTTTTGGTTCTGAGGAGATATCCTGCAGTTTGACCCTTTCTCTTGACTGCAATGCATGTACATTAGCTATTTAATATAGGGCATTTTCTAATCCAATAATAATTCAATAATAATAATAATGAAAGTTTTGTCATTAAAATAAGATGAAAATAAGTTCCATCTTTTTTGTTAAAATATGTAAAATTGGATCACCTCAGATAGCACAACTACTATTCAGTTCTCTTTTTCTTATTGTTTTATGGGGGGAATAGCCAAATAATATATTTTGGTAAATTGAATATCATCTTAGTATGCGAACAATTGCAATCAGTGTTGTAAAAGGATTGTAGGTAGGCAAGCACTTGTCTGCAAAAATGGTGTAAACTCATATATCCTTCAACGTTACAAAATCTATCTCCATTCCTTCCCCTCATTAGTCAGTCCTCTTAAAAAACAACCTTTCTCTAGAGCATTTGATTGTTGGTCTCTTGAGATGAACTTTGTGTTTTTCTTTCTCTTGGGATTTGTGAGTTGGAACCTACGAGTTCAGAAAAATGAAGGAGAATAAGCACCTTAATCAATCTTCTGAATGATTTGCCATGTGTCTCATCACTTGGAATTGGACAAAAGAATTGTTAGAAGCACTTGTAGTGAAGAAACATAAATAAAGAAAATAAAATTGAAGCCTATATTCATAAATTTACTTATTTTAATCACCTTGTGAGTATTGTTACAACTGCTTTCAATTGTCTGCAACTAGAAGTACTATATCTCATATTTTCTCCATCTCACCAGGCTCCACAATCTACATTGGTGTATGAAATTGAAAACTAACCCACCCAAATTTGTTGTATAAAAACAACCTCAATTAAAGATTTTTTAAGTCTGACTTGTGAAAATGAAAATGGCTCCTACAGAGTTTCATCCAAATCTTTTTCTTTCACAACTCCTTTAACAGTTGCACCTTTTAACCATTAACTCAACCAGTATCTGCACAATTATGCAAAAAATGATAAATCTACAAAATTGTATCTTTAGCCTGACATTGACTATGAAGACAAACTTGCCATGATATGTCGAAATCATTTCCCTTACTAACATAAGAGAATGAGTTGAGATTTTTTATTTCAACCTGTTCACGAGAAGAAGAAGTATGCAAATTTATATTTTAAGAAACAAAAAATAAAAAAGAAAAAAAAATAGTTGAAAATAGAATGCCCATTTGTTACAACTGAAGTAGCAAGTATAGTCTCATATTGGACAATGTTTTTGTCCAACAATTAAGCAGCAAATGGAGAAAAAAATAAAGCGAATCTAGGCAATAATTCACCTTGTTGAAAGCTCGAGCAGGTGGATTGGAGGATTAGGGATGTTGACATCACATTTTTTTTTCTTTTTTTTTGACATCACATTCTTGTTGCCATTATTCATTCCAGTCCAAGAGATCTAACTATATCCCTTCTCATATTACCTTCTCAGATAATCCCATGCAATGGTTTACCTATCAAATTAAAAAATAAAAATAAAATAAAACAGAAACCAGTAACAACATAGATAATTGTAGCAAAAGACTTCAGCTATTGATTACCACCTTATTTTCAAAGAACTTAACCTGGAAACGTGTCACTAGTGATGAAATTAAACGACTGACGAATTGTTGTGCAGAATTAGTGACGATTACAAGTATGAGCGAAAGTGGGAGAATTTATGGAAACTTATGGTTTGAGAAGAAGTGGTTTACATATGGCAAAAGCTGAAAATAGTTGAGAATCAGAACATAGCATTTGCATGTAGGCTCTAAAATTTGAATAGTTAAAAGATGGTGCTTGGCATATAATTTGTTGAAAAAGCTTATTTGTCTGTAAAAGTAAAAACCACTAGCAGTGCTAGGAATCCAAATCACCTCTCTCTCTCTCTCATATAATAATGCAGCTAGATTTTGGTTAAATTATCTATAATGATACGTCTTTGGCATCCAGAAACACTCAAATCTATTCTTTTATAATCCAGAAGCTAACAAATGAATAACTACACTAATATATATTATAAGATCAAGTCTCTAAATTCATTAATACAAGACAAATGGGGTGAACAACATCACAACAACTCATAATGAAAAAAATGGATTAAGCTATAACAGCATTATGAGTGAACAATAGTCAATAGCACATAAAGCTTCAGACGTCAAATGAAAAACTGAGTTCAACAGTAAGAACTTGGTGTGGGTTGTTCAAGCTTCCGTCTAAACATTCTCATACTCACAATTTAACAGGAGAAACAAAATTCAATTAACAACTTAATCTTTCATTTAGAACCAGCACGCAAAATGACCAAACATAACCGTCCTACAGTTCTAATAGCTAAATTTATAACTTCAAAGTCATGTTCAATTATGAAAAGCAGCATAACTATTTTGTTCATGGAGAAACAGTACAACTAATGATTTAGTAAAGCATTTTTACAAACACCTTGAATACAACTGCGGCTTCCAACCAAAAACTCAACCCATCGAGACCCAAAAATGGAAAACATGAAATAATTCAAACAAAATATTGTTGCGCACTGAAAATAGACAGTCATTAAATTGCAGTTACCAAAACAGATAATTAATAGTTCTTTGAGTCAAACATCAATCAATGTGGTCGTGCCAGAGTGGCTATCGGGCATGACTAGAAATCATGTGACCTTTGCTCGCGCAGGTTTTAATTCTGCAAACCACGTTTTTTGTATTCATATTCTTCCTCCTTTTTTTTTTATTTTTCCTTTTTGTATTTATATTCTTCCTCCTTTAATATTTTCCACATATAATATATGGCAGCAGGTAAAAATTGTATGTAATTTTGTTTATGAACTATCTCCTCTCTAATATATAAAGAGACATTAATAATATTATGAAACTTGTAAGTATTTGGAATTTGCAACCTCAAGAATTTTTCATAGTAAATTCCAACCTTTAATATATGAAATGTCTATCGCAACCTCCGATCTTCGTCAACCCTATTTTTCACCGAAAAAGTGAGCGTGCGAGACACACATACCAAATTTGAGGACAAAAATGCTATTTTATCTGATGTTTCAAGGACAATTTGATCATGTCAGGGTCTGTGCAGGTTGTACAAAATGAAGCGCAATGTATCTGTGTAACGCCCCGCTCTAACTTAATTATCAGAGTGCGTTTATAAGACATCTTTTAGAATAGTTTGAGAAAATGATTCGGAGCGTTACTAAAACATTTATTTTATCTTGAAAATCCGTTACGATCGTTTAAAATTTACAAGCAAAACGGATTAACATAATATACAATCCGACTATGAAATCGGATCAAAAGTCAAAGTTTGTCAAACAGTGAAATTCAGCGGAACACAGCGTGGCAAAATAGAACAGTAAAATATTTAACTTCGATCATCCGTCAACTTCACAGCTCCGGACCGACTTCATGACCTGAAAAATTTGATAAAAATGAGGTGTGAGTACCACTGCACTCTGTAGGAACTCATACTAAAGTAAACAGCAATAATAATAGTAACATCATGATCAAAAGCATATAACATAACCGTGAATTTCCTGGTCAACAGTATAAACCGGACCGGGACCCGTGAATCTACCGGCTGCCATGATGATAATGATAATGATAATAATTTCAGCCGGAATCCATGTGCACATACTAGTGGTAGATGACGCCACTAGAGCTTAGAACGGAATTATGGCAACCTGAACCGGCCAACATCCATTCCAAACGGAAAACATAATCATACCTTGAACATGATATCGTAATTATAATCAATGTAATACCCAGTCTGAGTCCCCACCTGTACTGAAGATATGAAACTGGAAGTGCTGATAGTCGTGAACTGATCAAACTGTAACATAATATAAACAATTACTAAGTACTATGCTCAGATCAATAAATTTAATTGTTAAGATGCTCGACTCGACTTAATATGATATCCGGATATAACGGAATGCACTAAGGTTTTACAGAAATAAATTCTATATCCGGAAATTATACTGATATGCTTAACTGATCTGATTTAGCTCGGAAAATAATTTAAATTTCAGAATAAGACTCGGACTGAAAATTACGAACCAAAACAGACTCGAACTGCCGGCTATACCGGCCGGTTCGCTAACTAGATGAACCGGGTCGGGCTGAACCGGACCGGGTTGGACCACCGATTCACACTGGACTGGGTGGTCACGGGCTGGTTGGGCTCGGTCCCGTGCCGGCCTGCTGGGGCCATGGCACGGCACTGGACACGGGCTAGGTGCGACCGGCCTCGGCACTAGGCGCTGCTGGGCGCGGGCAGTGCGGCTGGCACTGGCCCTGGCACTGGTCGGGCGCGAGGGACGC